CCTTCCTTCCTTCCTTCCTTCCTTCCTTCCTTCCTTCCTTCCTTCCTCTCTCCCTCCCTCCTTCCCTCCTTCCCTCCGTCCCTCCTTTTCTTTCCTTCCTTCCTTCCTTCCTTCCTTCCTTACCTCCCTCCCTCCCTCATTCCTTCCTTTCCTCCCTCCCTCCCTCCCTCTTTCCCTCCCTCCCTCCTTTTCCTTCCTTCCTTCCTTTGTTCCTCCCTCTCTCCCTCCCTCCCTCCTTCCCTCCTTCCCTCCCTCCCTCCTTTCCTTCCTTCCTTCCTTCCTTCTTTCCTTCCTTCCTTCCTTCCTTCCTTCCTTCCTTCCTTCCTTCCTTCCTTCCTTCCTTCCTTTCTCCCTCCCTCCCTCCTTCCCTCTCTCCCTTCTTTTCTCTCTCTCTCTCTCTCCCTTTCTCTCTTTCTTCAGACATGGGATAAGGGAGTAAAACATTTAGTGAGTAGAAGAAAAGGGGTGGTGATTATCACTTAAAAGTCTCAAAGACTGAAGTAATCATTTTAATGAGAAAATATTTTTGAAGCATCTTACCATTTAATTCTTTCTCCTTGACAACTGCAATTTCACTTTTTATACTATCTCATGTGGTGGTGAGAATAATAGTCCAGAAAACAGAAGTCCTCTGTGTTTCCTCCCAACTCTAACACACTGTGTGGTTTTAGGCAAATTTACCTTGTTACCGTTTTCTACTTTTAGTGAAGTAGAAGTGTTCATTCTTGTCTCGGTGGCAGGAAATCTGTGAAAATGTAATTGAATTAAATCAACTAATTAAATAAATGAATGCTGGACATTGTGCTAGACATAGAGGGAAAAACCCTCAATTATAACAATTCAATTATTTCAGCAAATGTCTGAGCATATATTGAGTGCAGAAAAGCGAATATGAGGGCTCACTGTCTCCTTGAATTCAAGATATTTTAAAAATCCTTAGACTTGAACTGGATTCTCCTGTTATTGTGGTCTGAATGAAAGCTGGGATTTGTTAGGTATGTGAGGAGCAACCCACATTTTAGTGTTTATTTTTTTCCTTTAATGGATACCTGGTGAACACCTCCTGCCTGTACTGCAGACTCATCCTATGAGGGTGATGTCACACCCTCATGGTGCCCCCGCCAGCCTCATTTAAGATGCAGCCTAGGGAATAGGGAAGCGGATGAAACGTGCCCATACAGCCTCGTTCACCACCTGAGGCAGTCACCAGAGTGCCTATAAATGGGTGTCTAGCTTTATGCAGACATGTTAAGATGAGCTGAAATTTGCAAAAGTACTATGGAAAGCAGAAATCATTGTATACACTTGTTGGCAATACATTTTATTGCTTGTAAAAGTTACACTTACTTGCTCAGGTTCTGCTCAACTTTTCTGTATGTTCCCTTAAAATTTGATTGCTCCCGAGTATGTTTGGCCACACAGTAGGGGTACACATCGCTCCATGTCACTATTACTTGGCCTGAACTAAAGGGTGCATGCTTAGATTCTCCAAGCTGGGAAGAGAATCCATCTTCCTGCCGTTGCACCAGGAGTCTGGGTCTTTGTCCATATCATCTCCAGAGGAATACATTTTACTTCCTGATGTCTTTCTTACTGCACTGTAAGAGTGGAAATCAGTTGGAAACTGAATGTTCACACATTCTCTTGCACAGCTACATTCTTCCTCCAAAGATAAGAAAATTGCATCAACCTTCGCTGGGCTCCCATAGCAACTTGTTAAATTAGGTCAAGATGCGGGGGCAGATAACATGGCTTGAAAGCCTGCCTGTTAGCTGAGTTAAGAATACATCAAATGCAATGTTGGCTTCCGCCAAAATGTACCTCCTTACCTTACTGTGAACTGTTTACGGTTATCAAACTGATACCATCAGAAAGCTCCATTTTCTTTTGTTCGAAGATACATTATGAACCCCTTCTAATTACAACACAGTCCTAGAGAAGTAGCCCAATGTTTTCTATATACATTTTGTAGACCTAAGCAAAACGCTCTCCAAGTCCTTGAAAAACAAGGCATCTCTTCTTCCTCTTGCTTTTCCATTTCAGTAGGTATAGAATAATACAGTAGGTTGTCACATAGTAGTGTCTCTTCCTCTCAACCCCTCTAGTCCCATTTCATAGATGATGAAACTGAGGCACAAAAAAATGACTTATTCAAGGCCATGTATGTAACTGCATTCTGCACAGAGGTAGCTTCTGAATTGAATCTTAAGCACCAAATGTCCCACCTGAATAGAAAATCTTTTCTTCATATTAGAGAATGAGAGTACTCCTTGGTTATTGCAGTTGCCTGCCTAGACTGATCAGGACCTTGTCTGCCTCTTGTCACTAATGAACACTATGTGTATGTGGGTTAGGGGTATGTGGGAGGAAGGAGAGCTGGCCTTGGCTTCTGTCCAGAATTATTGACCTATAAATCACCTTTATTGAACTTCATTCCAGATTGTCAGACATACCCACAGATAAGGAGTCCTATCACTTCTGCAGCTGTTTTGGAGCAGGTCTGGTGGTAATGCCCTTATCAATGTCTAAGTGTGTTCTTAGTCTTTGATTTGCAATTGCGAATGAAGTGGTTTTCTTGTTTTCTAGGAGCCTGAAAAAGGCTAAACCCAAAGCCATTCATTAACCATAATGAAATTATGTTTTATGGTGTTACACAGATTTATAAGTAGGCAGTCCTTCAGTTTCCTTAAGGCTAAATTTGGGACTATCTGGAATTCAACTTCCAAGTTTTTGTGTGTGTGTGAGACATAACATACACACACACACACACACACACACACACACACACAAAGGTACTAGTCTTCCAGAAAAAGAAGCCCCCGTACATTCTCCTCTAGGTCCTCTCAAATTGATTCTGCCCTGAAATAAATCCTCCTCTTGTTATTTCATAGATGACTTTAGAGCCAGTCTAAAGTCACA